ATATGTGCTTTAGAATGGCTTTGTCACCATTCAAACCCAGGTTTAAATCCTGGCAGGGCAGAATAAAGCCCACTGCTCTCATTAAGCCAGGAAAAAGAAAGAAAAGAAAAACGGTCAGTTCAGGTGTTTTATATAAAAAAAGAAGTGTCAGAAAATTATGTATATATACCAAACCGAACAATTTTTGTTCTCTATTTAAAACTATTTAGATTTTAAAATGGAAAAACTTTCTATTTTGTATTTAAAAATTCAATGTATAACATGGATGCATAAACACCTGCATTTTATTTCAGTGTTAAATTCTGTTTAAATTAACAGATTATACGGTAATTAAAAATGTCTTTACTAGTTTGGTTACTCTCTGCCATTTGGTATGATTGATTTCACCATAAAATAAATACAGGAGTGGCCTGTAGGTGGAGCTGTTGTGTATGCTTTACAGAAGCGCATCATGAGTTTTTAACTGCCATTCTTCTGTTTTTCTGCAGATTCAAGGTTTTACAAGAGTTCAGTGGTTGTTACTGTCTTAAAAAACTCTGATTACCTCGAGTAGGAGGAGGTTTGTTTTTGTGGAGTCGAGTCAGGATTCAGTTTGCTGAGTTTTTGCTCCAGCCAAGTCACGTGTTGGCGTGTTTTGTAGTCACATAAATTGCTTCTTGGGTTTGCATTTGTAATTTCCATGGTGATACTCGCTCTGCTTTATCCCTCCTACCTGCATTCTTATCCTCACCTATTACCTCCCCATTTCTTTTCTATCTGTCCCTCTTCACCTTGTTCTGCTTCTTTCTTTCTCTCGGTGCCCCCCCTCCACCACCTCCGCCAGCATCCTCCATCTCCCTCTGTCTTTTTCTGTTTTCTATCCCAGCCCATCGCTCACTCCTTCCTGCCCTGGAGACAGTATTATCAGTGAAGTGCACGCGGTAAATTGCACCCTGAGAGTTTCCTGGGGTTGCAGATAGGAGTGGGGCAGCATTGGAATTATAGTTGTGGAAAGAGGAGAGCTTGTTGTACACACCAGTTGGTGCGTGTTTCATACGACTCTTGCTCTCCTTACCCCCCCTCCCCCTTTCTGTGTGGAGACATGCTGTAGTGTCGGTCTTATCTCCACTCCAACATACTCCTACTTCTAATAAAAGCATGCTGGAGGGGTGACGTGAGCAGAATGACCGGTTATTCAGGTTTGGATGTCCTTATGCTCAGGGCTCCTTGTAATTACGCCTGAAATGTGTGTGCATTTCATATATGCAATATGCATATATCAGATGCAGTGTGTGTATATATATATAAATAAGTTAATTTAGAACCAAAATGTGTTATTTATTTTTTACATTTGGAATTGTTTGGAGTAAGTTCTTAATTTGGGCGATTAAGAGCACACCAGTTGTTGGAGGATGGTTCGGTAAATGTCTAGTGTGGACGGGATGTTTTGAAAAAAATATTTTTTT